GCCATTTGATCATCGCGATGTTTCGGCCCTGGCTGTTCTGGACGACGGTGCACGCGGGGGAGCTCGCTTCGGTGACGACGCGGTAAGCCTCGCGCCGGCTGGGATCGTACACGGTCGAGTTCAGGACCGTGGTCTTGAAGTTGGTGAGCGTGAAGGTCGCGGCGTCGTGAGGCGTGCTAGCGCTGGACGAGGTGGGGGAGGGGAGGGCACCGAAGATGGAGGGCGTGCCACTGCCCTGCTGCTGCCACTGGTTGTAGGGGTTCATTGCAAGTAATGTGAATGACAACGAAGAACGAAAGAAGTGAGAGTACGAGGGACGAGGCTCGAGAGGAGTGAGGCTGAGAAGATGAGTGCAGAGCTCATGCCGAGACAAGAGCGTATATATGGACGCACCGGAGGTGGATGAGACACTCGTTGAGGAGCATCATCACTTTCGAGGGCGTACATGAAATTCCACAAACAGTCTTCAGCTAAGAGCGCCGTGTACATTGTGCCTGGTATTTTGGGCACCTGCCGATATGGGCGGAGATCCTGTGGAGGACGACATGAGTCGCTTTGCGTAATCCGCGGCGTGCACGGCAATCTCGATTTTGTGCAAATACCGCGATTGGCATACGGAAAACGGGACGGCTGTGCAGCTTGAGGGCGTCCACTCGTCTGCCGCGCGATGCCGGAGGAACGGCGACCACAAAAGCCGGATGTTTGTTGAGAACGAGAGCGCGGCGTCGTCTGGGTGGGTGCCGGCCCTGCAGAGATGAAAGAAAACCACAACTTGCGAAAGATGCAGCGTACGTACGACCGACCGACTGCGCGGAACGGGATCTCCTCCGGGTCATCTCCCGTCACCAGATGCAGCCGATCACCGTGTTGAGAGGAGACATCAGCGTGTGCAGTCGGCGCAAAGACGGAGACGCCTCCTGCCAATACCTAAAATGAACCCACTTTCCGGATGGCGCTCACAGCTCGCAGTACTTGGCAGCGTACCCACATCTGCCGCCGGCTGCGGCGCCCATCCGGCCACATGGCACAAAGTCGTGTGGGTGTTCCGAGGTTGCCGTTACGGTGATCAAGAGACATCGATGATAAGCTTGTGAATTCGCAGCATTGTGAGCACGTTCTCTGTCATTCGAGGTGAGGTCGTGCTCCGTCTTCAATGTCGATCCATGACCTCGGTCTTCCGATGTTCACAATGTACGTTCGAATCCTCTGAAGTTGTGTAGGTGATGATTTCCCGACCATGCCGAGGGAAATCGTTGCTATAGGTGCGAAACAGGAGAGCGTGAAACTAGAGAAATGAAGCAAGGGCGGCGAGAGCTCAGCTCCCCGCACGGCGACTTGCGAGCGTTGAAATTCGGCCGCTGGTCTCGCGTGAACTCCACGTGCGAGAGTGATGGTTCATCGCGTGGCATCCACGTGCGCGCCTCCTCTCCGACGTCGCCGGCTGCCTCGCTCGTCCAGTGCACTGTGCAGCACAGATTGCCGCTGCCCGAAAGAGCTGTCGACTTGAAACAAGCAATGAAGTGGGTCGACGAAGTGGTGTATTAGCTCCCAAGCACCATGCTCACTCCTATTATCGCACTCCCTCAATTTTTCTTTGTATCGAGTATCGACACGAAGCCTTTCTAACAGCAGGCAGTTACTATTAGCAAGGGCTGAGCGATGGTGTTTAGTAAAGCGCGCTCATTCTCTTTCCTCTTTCCGCCTCGCATAAACGCGTCTAATCCCTCTCACTAGAATTGAATCTCTAATTGATGGTTCTATCTATATCCTCACATTGCTTTGATTACACTCACATCGTGCCAACGGTGTGCATGTATATTAGTGCTCCTCCCACAAATTGTCATGCATGCTGCCGAGTCTGGGCCGGATTCCTCTCCTCCGGTTCTTGAAGCCAAATTATCTAATATGATATGACGCCTTACATTTGTGGATGCTGTGTCATCCAACGACAACAGGCGCCCGCCAGCTTGGCCCAAACCGCGGTCGTTGGTTGTCGCCGCGTTGGTCCTTCTCACCATCATCGGCGGAGCAACTCGTGTTCACTCTGACTGGACTCCGCCATGAGTCTCAGCAAGCTCAATTCTGATGGCGTAATGCTCTTTGAGCAGCCATTCGCCCGGGTACGCTTCCTCCGGTCTCCTTTGTCACCCCCTGCACCGGCGTCTTCCCTTTGCGGCACGACGCGGGACTAACATCCAGGACCAGGTCCCATACGAAAACTACCGCAAAGTGTTTCGGACCTCGCAGAAGAACATCGAGAAAGAGATGGGCGCCGTTCAGACCGCAGCAAACGAGCTCGCCAAACGCCCCGATGCTGACGCCGACGCGACCCTCAAGGCCATCGACGGCATGATCGCACGCGTCGATGGCCTCAAACGCAAGGTTCGTCCTCCCGTCTTTGCCAATCCCGACCTCGATGCTCACGCCTTGTCCGTCCTGCGCCGGTCGTCTCGCTTCCGCGATGTCTCTTCTCACGGCCCCATGCGTGTGGAGTTAGCTCTCGGACATGCAGGAAACGTCAGGCAGCCCGACCCTGGGGGTCATGCGCGAGCGGTTCCAACACCTCGCCGCTGTCGAGAACGTAGAAAGTCTGACGGCGCCCGAGTTCACGCGGTGGGCTGACGTTCGTCTAGACCGATGGCTCGTCGACTGGTGTCTCCGGAACGGCAAGGAGAAGACCGCTCGCATGATTGCAACACAGAAGGGCATCGAGGTACGATCTCTCCATGCGATGGACGGTCTATGCAGGGAGTTGATCGCGCTTTGTTCAGAAATTGGTCGATATCGATCTATTCTCGGATATTCGGAGGATTGAAGACGGTCTCACCCGCAAGAGCTGCACTGAAGCTCTCACCTGGTGCAGCGAAAACAAGCAGGCACTCCGAAAGCTCAAGGTGGGTAACGTCACCTTCATTCCGAACGGTACGTGTTGACGTCAAGCTGTCCGCCTCAGAACACTCTGGAATTCGATCTCCGGCTGCAAGAATACATCGAACTTGCCCGCGTGGGCAAGGCACAGGAAGCGATGGCATACAGCAAGAAGCACCTTCTTTCGTGGCAAGAGACGCACCATGACCAAATCATACAAGTCGCGACGCTGCTCGCTGTTCCGCCTGCCAGAGCGTTCGGCCCATACAAAGTGAGTGAACCGATCACTCTTGTCTCCGCGGTTCTTTCCCTTCTGTTTCACCTTCGTGTGGTCTGAGGCAATGGAATTCCCGCTCTACCGAGTTAGGAGGGTGCAGGACTACAACTGGTAGCCGCCCGTCTTGATGGCCAGTGCCACTGTTTCAAACACCCTCGGGTGTTCTGGTGCACTGCGTTTCGTTTTTGCAGAACCCCGATCATTGTGTGTTCCCCCTCGCTCTCCACTTTACTCCCCCGTCTCACTTCCGTTCCTCCACGGATCCCTAATGCTGATCTAACCCTCCTACCGCTCCGCAGCGCCTTTACGACCTCGGTCGCTGGAACACGCTCATCCAATCATTCCGGCTCGCGATCTACCACCTCAGCACGCTCCCGACGGAGCCGCTCCTGCACCTTGCAATGTACGCCGGACTGGCATCGCTGAAATTGCCCGCTTGTTACGGCCACGAGACGCGCAACGTCGACTGCCCGGTGTGCCAGCCGGACCTCGGCACCCTCGCGCGGGAGGCCCCATTCAGCCACCACGTGAACTCGACGATCGTGTGCCGGATCAGCGGAAAGATCATGGGCGCGGACAACATGCCGCTTGCGTTCCGGAACGGGCAGGTGTACTCGAGAGAGGTGCGTTGTTCTTTGTCTGCTGTGCTCTGTGCGTTTGCCGTCTGTGCGTGGAACCGCCGCCGCCGGACTCTGGCTGAGGATCCGTGCGCCCACATGGGCCACGCGATTGTGGTGACCGGAACGCTGACTAGCTCTTTGATTCCGTGACAGGCTTTGGAGGAGATGGCGGCGCGCAACGATGGCTACGTTGTGGACCCGCGTGACCCCGGCGAACGGCAAAAGTTCAGCGAGCTTCGCAAGGTGTTCATCTCTTAGCGGCGCGTTGCCCGGATCGTATCATTGTACTATATGCGCGGTGTGTACTGTTGTTCCTCGTTGTATCCATCTATCTTCCCCTTCTATCCTGGAGGTCAGTGGTCCGATTGTTGGACCGCTTATTGTTAACCGTATGCACTGCATGGCGGTGCGAGAAGCTCCAGGTGCGTTCACGCCCGTCTTCCCTATCCCCATCTGATATGTACACCTCTCCCCAAGTTGCAAATCAAATTCGCGATCTCGTCCCGCCAGGCCCGTGCATACACCCGGTGAACCATGTACCAGACTGATCCGACACACAGGTTCAAGTTGTTTTGATCGGCCCGGATTGCGGTATCGGTGGATATGGACCTGGTGGAAGGGCTGTCGAACAGGTCCGGCCTGAAATCTACGGAGTGCGAGGGAGGCGGAAGCGCTCACCCCTTGCTTCCTGTCATCACGCGCATACACACTCATCTTCTACCACTCGTATCTCCTTCTCTTTGCTGGCGGCCGCCCCGAACGTATTTGTTCGTCTCCCCACCAGTGCTACGGTGTACGTAACAAGATGCGCTCTCGACCATCCCGGGCGCGTGGAACCCACCCGCCACAGCCGATCCCAGTGCGTACCCTTCCCTCAAAGTCCCGCTGGCGGCTGCACGGTAACAGCTTTCGGACCTCCAACAGGGCCTGGGGCACACAGCTTCCGCATACTACAATGAACAGTGATCGCGCCCGACGTCGCTTTGATGGGGACACGACACGGCGCGTCGGCGTCGTCGGCATTGTGCTGTGTCTTCAGCTCAACTCAGTTGTTGCTCTCGGTGAGCAGAGGCGCATCCATGTGTCTGGCTTGACGCGGTCAAGTGACGTAGTTCCGCGCCAGGAAGGACGTCGTCCTGTCTTCAAAGTGGTCGCCGGCAGCGGTGATGAGCGCTGAGCGGTCACCGTCTTCTCTCACCCTCTCGCGGTCCTCCGGCTCTTCCAATGTGATAATTTTGCCACTTGGTGTCAATATATGGCTGACAACTCAACTGCGATGAACCAGGCCTCGGCCGCGCGTTTAACGAGCACAATCTTTACGGTGAAAACCCTTCGCATTAATGATGGTCACCGCGGAACTAGCTTGAAGTCTGCTACAACGCAAGTATTTCCGGTCGCTTTCGATGTGATGATTGCGCTGATTTTTGAAGCCATGTTTCAAGTTCCAAAACGTTTAGATGGAGAATGAAGCGGGCCTCGGATTTCGGCCATCTCCGCAGGCCGTTCGCGTACTATCTAAGCGAGATTGGCACGTGGCGGGATGCACGTCGCACAATCGCCACCGGTTCGTTTTCTCACTCCGGCGATTCATCGTGCTGGATTTTCCGCTGCGTTCGTTCGGAAGCCGGCGATTCTCAAACCTCTGATCTGCCTATTTTCTAGGTGAGTTCGTACTTCCAAGTACTCCTCGAAGACATGCTACCTGGGTCGCTGACCATTTCTCACACGACAGGTGACGTCTGGCCGTGTGGGCACAAACTCAAGCGCTGTATAAACGCAAGCTTATCGGACGACCGACTTATCAGAAGATGCCGGCAAGCCCAAAAGAGAGCATCTCAGCCCCACCCCGACGTCGTTATCTCTGCGTCTGTGCCCCACGGCGACATACATAAACTGGGCCTCCGGGCTGCTTCGCGGGCTGGTCTGCTTCTGCTTCGGATTGCACCGTCACCTTCGGTCTTCTCTGCTTGGGTGCCGCGATCATGGGGATCATCGAGAAGTTGGAGGTGTCCGACACCAGGGGCCTCCCTTACTCCGAGCAGTTCCTGCAGGTGCGTCGCGGGAGCACACGAATGATTGTTTAGTCACGCGAGCACTGACGGTCGCTTGTGATCTCCACAGAATGACGACCTTCTCCCTGTGCCCAAGGAGAAGCGGCAGTGGGGAACGTGGAACTTCATTGCATTGTACGTAGCTTTCAGCAGCACTCGAATATATGGCTGAACGCTCGATCGTACAGCTGGATCGCAGACAGCTTCAACATCAACACGTATGTCTTCGTGTTCTGCTCGCTCGTGTGCGTGACTAACACCTTGCCGTAGATGGACGATTGCTTCGTCTATGATCCAGCTAGGGCTCTCCTGGTGGCAGGCGTGGATTTGCGTCTGGATTGGATATGGCGTGGTAGCCCCGTTCATTGTCGCGAATGCGCGCCCTGGCGCCATGTTCCATGTCACTTTTCCCGTTGTCGCTCGCACGAGCTTCGGCGTCTGGGGCAGTCTCTGGTGCGTGTTTAACCGAGGCGCGATGGCCTGGTAAGTCTTCAGTACTATAGTTCACGCAGGAATATAATCAGAATATTTTCAGCATCTGGTACGGCGTACAAGCCAGCCTCGGGGGCTCCTGCGTGTTTGTCATGCTCAGGGCGATGTGGCCGTCGGTGAACAACATCCGTCAGTCGCGACTCTTGAACCTTCTCAGGTTCAATCGGCTGACTTCACCTATAGCAAACCACCTACCCGAATCAGCGGGCATCACTACTAAGGACTTCATGAGCTTCTTCCTGTTCTGGCTCATTTCTCTCCCCGCAATCTGGTTCCCCATTCACAAGATGTGAGCATTAATCTTGCCTCCCATCCACAAAGCTTCTTGCTCACATCATGCGCGCTACCTCTACTAGCCGTCATCTCTTCACGCTCAAGGCGGTCGTCGCCCCAATCGCCGGCATCACCTTCTTCGTCTGGTGCATCGTCAAGGCACACGGCGTTGGCCCGATAATCTCCCAGCCCAGCACCCTGCACGGCTCTGCGCTTGGCTGGGGCATGGTCTCGAGCCTGATGTCGTGCATCAGCAACATGGCGACGCTCGTCACGAACGCGCCCGACTTTGCCTCGCGCGCGCGCCACCCGTCCGCGGCGGGGCTTCCGCAGCTCCTCTCCGTCCCGCTTGGGTTCTCGATCGTCAGCTTCCTCGGCATCATCGTCTCTTCCTCGTCGCAAGTCATCTATGGAGAGGCTATTTGGTCGCCCATCGACTTGCTGAACATGTTCCTCGACGGATCCCCGAGTAGCGCGACGCGCTTCGGGGTGTGGTTTATCTCGGCGTCGTTTATCATCGCTCAGGTGCGTTTGTTGTTGTGGAGGCGCCCGCGAACCCTCTTTGCTCACACGTGTTCGCGCTTGCCCTCCATAGCTAGGGACCAACATCTCCGCGAACTCGATCAGCGCCGGCTGTGATCTGACTGCACTGTTCCCGCGCTTCATTGTCAGTCCTCATCGTTTATTCTGTGAGAAGAGCATGAGACTGACACTGTGCGCAATGATACTCAGAACATTCGCCGGGGAGGTTACGTCGCAGCGATCGTCGGCCTGGTAATGCTCCCTTGGAACCTGCTCAAGAGTAGCAATAGTTTCGCGTCGTACCTTTCCGCGTACTCGGTCTTCCTGAGCTCCATTGCGGGAGTCATGGTGCGCGCGCTACCAGGATACGTCCAAGATCTGCTCACTCACGTGTCATGACAGATCACGGACTACTACGTCATCCATAAAGGTCACTACAACGTGAAGGACCTCTACCGTGCCGAGCGGGACGGATGGTATTACTACACTTACGGCTTCAATCTCCGGTAAGCCATCTCTCCTCCGTCCTCTCCTCCCGCGCTCACCTCAATGGTGTACAGCGCATACGCCGCGTACATCGCCGGCATCCTCATCAACGTCGTCGGCTTCGCCGGCGCCACCGGCCGCACCGTCCCGCTCGCGGCGACGCAGATCTACGAAATGTCGTTCTTCACCGGCTTCGGCGTCTCCGCCCTCGTCTACTGGTCCCTGAACGTCTTCTTCCCCGCGCGCGGCGTGCGCGAGGCGTGCGCGCGCTTCGAGGAGGTCGACGTCTCGGAGGGCGACTTCAGCGCTGGGGGAAAGCCGTCTATCGACGGCGACGCGAGCTCAGACGGGAAGAGCGCGAACGCGAGCGTCTACGCGGCGTAGCGTGGTGATGTCGCGCGGACGAAGAGGCGAAGACGGCGGAAAACAGCTCGCGTGGGCTGCGCAAAGGAGACGCGTACGGATTGACGGGAGACAGGACCGGCTTCGAAGTTCGCAGTGTCGAGCGGTGAGTTTGGGCCGAACCACCTTCGATTCGTTGTGTCGTGATCAAGAGTATGGATGATTAGTGCGGGGGCTGGTGTGGCCCGCCACGGTGCACGGCACCCATGAAATGTATACGAAACACGCTCATCACTTTTGCACACGGCGCGCATCGCCCGACATTCGTGCGGCGTGGTCTCGAGCACACCCGGTAATCCGGCACGCTTCACACGCCGCTTAGAACACTGCTTGTCGCGCGAGGGGAGCCCGTGGCTGCCCGATCGTTTGTCTAGACGTCGAGAGCTGGGTCGCCAAGTGCCCGCGTTCTCAAATAAGCAAAAAGGTCTCACAGCGCTCGGACGTTTGCGGGTTGCGATGCATGCCAAAGTTGCCAGAGCACTGCCGCGGAAGGGTGACCCACTGGGCCCGATCCCAATCCGCAGCTGGTGTGTCCTCTTCGGCGGTACTGAGGCTCGGGTCGCAAGGGCGCTGGACAGTGGCGAAACAAGTCGCGAAGGCGTGATAGGGGCTTCGTTCGGGTTGCATATCATTGAGGATTTCCGAGCTGTGGTACTCAGTGAGGCTGAGTTCTTGGATTTCAAGGCAAGGTACCCATCTGCTCTCGTCACACACGTCCTGTGACATCGGTTTTTGAACAAGTAGCCGTTGCTCGGGTGATCGGAGGTGCAAATCATATTAGTCACCGCACTCGCAATCCGATCGGCATTCGCATGCGAGTTGGCGGGGTAAGAAGCTACGAAGTACCCGGTCAAAAGTTGTACAGCGTGCCCCGGCTCTTCACGGCTAGAACGGTGTCCTCCTGGACAATGGATTCAACTCAGAGCAACACTTGACGGCGGAGAGAGAATAGCTTCACGTGGAGCTAGCATATGAGGATGGATGTGGGTCAAGATCAACTGACCACGGGCCGGCCACGCGAGAATTTGATCGCATCGCCATGGGCTTCACGTGCGCCCAGCGTCTTCTCTTTCCTCCTGCCGTCCACCTGTACCCCACGTTTTGGATCAGGAATCTATCAAAACGCGAGGTCCAGGTGCTTCCGTCACTACCGAACCGCTGGAATGAAGGCGTCGACGCTTTCAGAGCGGAATTCGCATCTGCCTACGAGGGCGTACTATTGAAGTGAGTTTCTAGTCCTCCTCTTTTTCTAGTCACATCCTTCAGTGCTCACAATGCTGACAGATACTATAGGACGAGACGGGGATGGAACTGGAGCCTCGCACCACCCCGCACGTTACGCAAAGGAGCAAACACACTGCTCTGGATCTTAGACCGCACGCCCGTCTGTGACAATGATAGGCACGGGAGGCTCTGCCGAGCTATGTCGACGCGAGGGCCGAGATGTCCGTCACCAATCCGTCACCGCCGCCCGACCCCATGTCATTTCACTTTCGTGTCTTTGCTGGTACGCTCACCTTGGTTCCACCCGAAAGTACTTCCTTTTTTCCAACACACAGATGCTGAGATGCTTGACCGTCGCATACGCCTGCTCGTGTCGCCCGTCTCACCCTTCATCTCAGCGCCCCGTTCAGCTCCCTCGTACATATACGGTGATGCAAATCCCAGTTCCTCACCACTCGACAAAGGCTTCGACGGCTTCCCTTCCAGGTCTCCATACCTCCCATCGCAGCTTGCAGCACCCATCCATACTTCACCGTCGCTTCGACATGAACCCCTTCGCTCATGGCAACTGGAATGGACAATCAACTTCGGTGTACGGAGCACTCCCATCTCTCGCCGCACCAGCGACGCAGTTGGACACGGTCACCTACACGTTCATGAATTTCAAGTCGACAATCCTGAACTCGACCATCGTTGGCCCGGATGGCCGCACCGCCTACACCGTTTCGACGGAGGCAAACGCCCCCGCATACACCATCTTCAAGGACACAGAGAAAAGAAACATCGGAATGGTCCAGTGGCAACCCTACGCGTCCGTGGAGATTCGCGGTGGTTCCACGCGTCAACGCGTCCGCGACTGGCTCAGGCTGTCGTCAGACCAGAGGTGAGTATCCACCGCTCCACGGACCTGGTCGACTCAGTCGCTCATCTCGAGCGGCTTCTCGTTTCAGTCGGCGGATCATGGAGGCGAACCGTGTGCAGTACGCGTGGGCACCGATGGACGGATTCGTCTGCGTACGTCCCCGCTCGCTCCGACCGCTCTCCTCCCCACGCTGATCGCCGAACTACTTCCCTTTGCGCGGTGGGACTTCCTGCTGACCCATCCGTTATGCAATCGACCGTGTCGACGTTCCCCGCCGACCCGCCGCGCTCACACTCGGGCGCGTGCAGCTGTACAAAATGCACAGCAGCGCCCCTCGCATCCTCGGGCGCGTCTCGAGAAGCCCGACCGCGGTCTCCCTCGAGCTCACCGCGGAGGCGGTGCAGCTGGGCCTCACCGAGCCCGCGCTCGTCGCGACCGCCATGCTCTCCTCCGGCCACAACATCGACCGAGCGCATCGCTCCGCGGCCCCGTGCGGCCTCCCCCCTCTCCGTGCCCCGTGCCCTGTGACGGCGCGCTATTGATCATACGTTGGATCCGGGGAACGGTTCTATCATTGATCGCTGGCGCGACGCGACGCCGCCCTCGCTTCTGTCAATCTCTTACGCGCCCGCTCGGGGAGCCTGCCCGGCTGCCAATCTATTGTCGACTCTCGTCCCGAACACGGAGCTGTGATGCCTGCCTCTTATCAATCGGGTACCCATGTACGAGACCGGCTCTCGTACTCGTAGACTCTATAGATCGAGCTTCCCACCGCTATGTAGCATAGACACGCTACTTGGACCGTGCTAGCTTCCTGATACCCTGTCGTAACTTATGCTCCCTGTAGAATACTCCTCCTCCTCCTTTCATAGATCGTCTATGTGATGCACCGCTCTTGACTCGAGTCGCACTTTCGGCCGATCGCTAGGGCTGGCGAATTTGTCCTCTCAAAATCGAATAACTCCTCAGACGCCGACCGAGGGGCGACGAACAAACACAGGATAGATCCTGGGAAGTAGTAGCTCCAACGGTCAGTGACTTTCAATTTACCTTGCCGTATCCGTGGTTTCTCGAGATAGGAGCGCTCGTGGTCGCGGCTTTCTCGGGGAGGACTCAAGAGAAGCGACTGAAGCGACTGCGGCCGAATCGAACGCCGTTCGGCGTACGTACTCAGCGTGCACTTTCTCCACACCGTTCAGATTTCAAACGCGAACACAGGAAGGGCTTGGTCTGCCGAACGCTGCCAGGCTCAGGTGGATAGTCCACGTCCGAGCCGGCAACAATTCGTCGAAAGTTGCTTCGCGTGCTGCAACAAACTCCAACTTTATAGTTCCGCAAATCCAAATGATATTTCATTGGAGTGCCCGTCGTGTCCTGAACCTCTTGGCCAGGGTCGGACCGTGGCTGTCGGTTGGTTTCCCCGGTGGGGTTGCTCTGATCAAATGCCGCGAGTATCCCCGACAGCCTTCCACTCTGGGTGAGAATATCGACGTCCATGCCGTAACATGGAGGTGATGCGCTTCAAGGACGGTTCGGTTTCATACGTCGCGGGTCCATCGGGCCAGGGCGCGACTTTCAACGATTGGCGATTGTGTAGCACCCCGGCTGGACGAAGCCGGCCCGCGCAAGTGCTCCAGAAACGCGGCGGTTTGCAAGCCCCGATGCGCAATTTCAACTCGAGCCTGATATTGCATGCAGTGCATGATCTTAGCATAATCGATCATGGACTTCGGTATCGGCCGATGTCTACTACTTGTGCCCCTCAAAATAGGGGACGGGGATGAAAAACTTGTTTGGACGACCATCATTCCCACCAAGGACGCTGCCATATTATTAGGGACAGACGCTGGCATCCGCCTGAAGCAAAAACAACTTTGGTGACGCTAGAAGGGTTTCAAATGCGAGGAAAGTGTGGATACTGTCAACAGTCTCGCATATGAAGAGGACGGACAACGAAACCGCGTGCCTTACGGACGGCTCTTGTGCTGTTCAAGGATGATATGGAAGAGGAGGACGCTGCGCGAGAGCGGACTGGGGAGGCAAAAGAATTGGGCGCTAAATGACTTGCCCTCAAGCGATCGAGGTGGCTTCCATCTTGGGAAACTCCTCCTAGCAACTTATGACGTCATTGTTTCTGGAATTTCTTGTGCCATCGTCTTATGAAGTGGATACACGAAATGTGAGCATAGCATCGATGATACATTGTCTGGATCTTGAAGTCTGGATTGCAATCAAAGAGTGATCTTGGGGTGAACATACATTACAAAGGGTGCTGCGAACGCACCCCGAACGCAGGCGAACCCGATTGACCTGGACGCGGAAACGATTCTGGATACATCTTACAAGCAGCCTGACGGCGGAGGGAGATGTTGAGTTGGAACCTGGCGAGCCAGGCCTAGGGCGATTCCGATTCCAGCCGCGCACTGCGTGGTTTTGACGCCGAGCTTCCCCCGGACTGGTGACCCCGCGTCTTTCCTCTCGCCCTCGTCTTCTTCAATCGCCGGTCTGCGCCGTCCCATGCGAACACATCAAATGGGCCAAGACTCCCTTGAAGAGGCCGCGAAATTGAGCGTCGAGAATGGAGGAGCGATGAGAGGCCGAGGCTTCCTGCCTACCCACCTGAATGCCCAGACGTCCATCGTACGTGGACCGTTGTTCCAACGTTCACGCTACGGGCTTATGTTGAACTTTAAAGGTAGCACCCGATTTGGCGACAACCCTGCGCAAGCTCTTTACCTGTCAGCTTCACCGATGATATGAGCGTCGGTCCGGGCCACGCGCCTCTCGCTTACCGCCATCATGCCCTCCTCTGCTGGAGACGAACGATCTCCCCAGCCCCCCGGCGCCGATACTTTTGGCCGTCGGTGCCAGGGATGCAACAAACTTCCCGTCCTTGGCCAATCCTTCAGGAGATGCGGGGGTCCGTGCGCCTTGAAGCCGGTGTACTGTTCTCAGGAATGCCAGAAGGTGCATTGGAAGTCCCACAGGTACGCTCCCGCCGCACCGATCGCAGCCCCCGGTATCCACACACTCTGCGATGCAGGATGTACTGCAAGAAGGCTACGGACGCGACCTCCCCACCTCTTCCCAAGCTCTCCGAGCAACTCCGCAAGTTCTGCAGTGCACATGAATGGGCCTTCATCACCGCAGGCGTCGCCTTCGCACTGCGAACGTGGGGGGACGATTACGCCAACCAGCTCGAGCGCTACGCCGTGACATTCTTCCTCGAGCCCAACCACAGCCACCTCGGAGCAAAGCAGCCTCGGGATCCCTCGCGCGCCTTCTCCGTGTGCGGCGTCGGGGAGGTGGACGCCAAGAAGATATGCATCGCCGAGGATCCGTCGACGATAGAGGACGAGGCGTTTGCCCCCTCTTGCGGTGTACTCGTACTCCCACGGGGCGGCGAAGACACCACTCAGAGCGGCGCTGCGTCTGCCGGCCACCCAACAGAAGACCCCATCGCCTGCTTCCGTCGACGCTTCAGGTCCCACCACAAGACACCCCCGCACTGGATCCTCATGACCACCGTCTTCGGGGTCAAGAACTCGGCGTACATCATGGTCGACGCCTTCGCGCGTGCACCCCCGCGCGTCATCCATCCCGACATCTGCCGCACGCCGGTCTCGGACATGCGCAAGGAGCTGCTCGACGCCATCCAGGTCTGTGTGCATGGCGTCAACGAGCCGCCTTCCCTGCGCTCGTTGCACGACACGTGCGCGACCGTGGCCGTCCCGGGCAACTTCGTGCGCGTGCGGGGGGAGGGGTGGGTGTGGAAGCCGCTGTTCACGGACTGGGACGAGTACTTGCGCGACCCCGAGAAATTCGACCGGGATGTGCCTGCGTTCACCGCCGTGCGGCAGCAGTCCAGTATGTCGGTGGCCGACTTGATCGCCTTCTGTACGCTCCTTTAGCTGGACCGTGGCATGTCTTGGGGAGCGCGGAGCAGTTTCGATATGGCGCGCTGATGCATCTAGGCTGTATGCGCTCACACTCTACCAACATTCCTTGTACCTCTCTCCACCGAGTCCATCTATTGCCTCGTCACGATACCGTTATTATATGCGCAAACCTGTACATGGTGCCTAATTCTAAGTCCTGAATCCAGTTGATTTGTACCCTGATCACTTGACGTGTTGATATATGCGCATTGAATATCTCGACTCCCGACATCGAGCTCCTGCGGTGTTCCGAAAGGAGCGACATCTCCATGGACAAGGGACAGTTTGTACAACACAACTGCAGCGAGAAAGTGCTTATAACACCATCCGGGCGAGTGTGGGCTCGATTAGTACAGCGAGCCTTGACATATCGCTGACTTTAGTTGGGCTGTAGGGACAGGCCCCGCGCAAACAACACGTCCGAATAAACACGTCCAGTTCTGTGCAGCGAGGCACAGACCGGTTAAGTCAATTACAACGAGAACAGTGTCTATAATACCGAGATGTACATGCCAGTAAATGTCCCGATAGAGTCAAAGGAGCGTGGTGATGCTGCGTAAATATGAGAGTGTACAATAACAGCGCGAACACAGATGGTTGCAAAGGTAGCAATCATACAAGAATCACGGCGAGCAGCAATGCCATGAGGATGACGATGAGGATCACTATACACCAACCAGATTTTGTTTCTAAAAAGCCAGAAGTCAGCGAATAGAGCATACAGCTGGGGGAAGAGAAACGTACCCTCGGTCTGACGGATGAACTTCTTCATCTTCGTCATTGCTGTTGTTAGCTTGGCGTCAGAATTGCTCACGCCACGCTCAAGGTCGTCGAGCATCCTGGAGAGAAAGAAGGTCAGGACTGCACGGAAGTACACAGACAGAACCGCAGCGACGCACTCGTTATGCTCTCCGATCTCCTGGCCCATCAAGCCTGCCTGCTCGTGAATCGTGCTGAGCGTCCCAGCAATGGTGTCAATCGTCTCGTCTTGCTGCCGCATCATCATCTACCGCAGAACAGCGCGTCAGCACCCCGCAGAGACCGTGACAGGCCGGCCGCGCACCTCCTGCTCCTGCCTCGCCCACTCCGCCTGGCTGTCTTCGTTCTCGGGCGCGGGCGAGCGGATGCCCGGACTCGGCGCACCGAACATCGACGTCGGCCGTGACCGGCGGCCACCCTCCACCTCCGCCCTCATGTCCTGCGGCACGTCATGATCAGCGAGCAGACGACGCCCGCGGGCCCCCCGCCGCGCCACGCACCTCGATCTCGCGCCGGACGTGGCCCACGTACCGCCGCCGCTCCATCACCTCCGCCTCCTCCAGCCCGAACAGCCGCGCGCCGGTCGACTCCACGACACTGTGCGCGGGGCGGTCAGTCGGCGGGCAGCGGGCAGCGGGCAGCGCACCCGCGGCAGGGACGACACTCACTTCACGCTCTCCTCCAGGTCCTCCAGGTCCGCCTCGAGCGCGGCCAGTGTCGCTTTGAGCTGCGCGTGTGCCCCGCAGAAGCACGGTCAGCTTCCGCTCGCGCGGGACGAGGGGCGAGGGGGCGGGGACGGGGGACGGGGACGCACCTCGTTCCGCGCCCAGGTGAGCTCCTCGCTGTCCTCGCGCGCGGTGCTGCGGATGCGGAGGAAGGACGCGCGGAGCGTCGACGCGGTCTGGAGCGAGCCCTGGATCTCCTGCTGCACGGCGTGGTACGGGTCCGTGGACATCCTGCCGGGGGCGGGGGCGGGGGCGACGTTGGGGTGGGGTGGTGCGTTTCGGTCTCGGTGCGCGTGTGCTCCCCTGCTCAGGGTGGGCGTGTACGGACGGGGGCTGGGGCAGGCGGTGACGACGCGTCCGGCGTGGGTGCAGGGCGGTGTGCGTGGTGAGCGCAGCGGCTGGAGGCCGGGTTTGCAAAGGAGTGGATGCGTCGGTGTGAACGGTGGTCAGGTCGGCGTGTGGCGGTTGCGGGGAACAAGCTGGAACAAGTTGTGCAGCGGGGGTTTTGCCAAGAGACATCGCTGCAAGCGCGTATGTCGGCCCGTCGCCCGGTTCAGTGAAGTCGTCTAGACTTGGACATTGCTCTAGGCACTCGCGTTGTATCGACGGTTGTGAAATAACATAGATTGAAAGCATAGTAAAAACAAGTAGACTAGAGAACTCGTATGTTGTACAACAAAACCATCCGCACGCGCTCAGTGTACATCAGCCCACGACTCCCAAGTATATCGTGCATGGTCGAGGAAGAGCAAGGTCGAAGAACAAACCGATGTCAATCACACAGTAAGCCTCTTCCCAAGGACGCTCAAGCTGCGTTCGCTGCAGGCGTCTGACCGCGCTCGACGTCCGGCTGCGGCACGCCCTGGCGGCCGAAGCGCAGGAAGCCGAAACGACCACGCTCTGGTTGGGCAGTCGGCGGGGGCACGGTGAGCGTGGTGGGGAGCGCCGGGACCGGCGGAGAGTACTCGTCGGACGACGTGGACTCGCGGTGCTCGTCCTTCTCCGGGGGCGTGGTGGTAATACGGAGCAGGGAAGTGTACGCTGGAAAGGCGTGTTCAGGTTAAGAGGGGGGTATGTATAACGCCGCAAGGAATCACGTACGTTGACGGCAGACCGGGCAGAACCAGCCCTTGGCCTTCCTCTTCCGCCGGGGGTTGATCGGGACGGGAGGCACAATGGGAGGAGCGGCGGCGGCACCACCCTCGCCTTCAGCTGCCGGAGGCGGAGACGCTTCCGTTGTGGGTTCAGTAGCAGCAACCTCGCCGGAAGCGGTCTCGCCAGGAGCGCTGGGCTCCTCGTTCTGCATAATCGTCCCGCTGGCACCAAACTCGATCATGTTCAGGGCACAATCGCGGCATGCCACCAGGTGACGGCATGGAAGGAGTACGACTTCGCGAGGGGACGATAGACAGAGTAGACATTCGGAGGAAGGTTCGTCCTCCTGGTTGGTGGGAGCGGGAGCGGTGACAGGTGGATATGTGTGAGTGTCGAGTTGGGCGGTAGGAGGAGGGGCTGTGGGGGCTGTGGACGTCGTAGAGTTGGCAGAGAGACCATAGATCTCGTGCAGGTGGAAAGTGTGCAGGCCGATCTATAGTACCCTTTGAGAATGGGCTCGGAGTAATGAAGAAGCTTCGACTTACCGTAGCCTCACGTTTCACCACCTTGACAACCCAAGGACGCTTGTCCTCGTCTTCCTCGGCGCCCTCGACCGCGACCGGCGGGGCCCCAAACCGCACGACGTGGAGGTAAGTCACCTGCTCATTTGACGAAGGAAGGTCTTTGCCGTCCTCATCGAGGGCAGACAGGCGGATGGTCGCACGAACTCCAACGTCCTCTTCCTTCTCCTTCTTATCTTCACCCTCCGCGTGATGGACATCCGCATCTACGACGGCGAGAGCAGGGCCAGCGACGCCGCGTTCCTGGTTACGCTTGCGGAAGTGAAAGTTCGTAAACCGCTTCTTGCGATGCGCGGGCTCTGCGGCGGGGGTCCCCGCGACCTTCTCGTCCCCTGTCGAGGACGACTCGCCGGCAGGAGTCGCCGCGCGCGTGAAATCGAACCGGCCGAGCTCGAGCATCGCACCGTCCTCGAACTTGAGCATCCGGCCGAAGCCGCCGTCGGTGATCTGCTCGAAGACGAGCAGCTTCGAGAGCCCGGTGCCGTCGGGCTTGCCTGCCATCGGGTGCTTGGGGTTCAGGAGGACGTGGACGCGGATGGCGCATTTGGGTGCGTCGCAGTCGTACTCGAACTCGAGCGCGTGGTGGTGCTGCGAGTCGGCATGCTCGGCGTCGTCCGTGGCGTCGGATTCGAGGGGCGAGAGGCGGATGGTCGGACGCTTGAGGTTGACAAGGGCCTGCAGCGTCGTGGTGGAATAGTGTGTCTATAATTGAAGCGTGTGAGCACGCTGCGCGCATATACCCACCCTGTCGGACGACGGTCGCAGCAGACAAGTGCGGCCGCTCATCGACGAAAAACGATGCTAGTCGTCGAGGAGCAGTTGCAAGGTGATCCACCACCCGTGCGTGCAGCAAACGGGAACCCCGCCGCCGCAGAGGGACTCCGAGACAGACTGCAGACTGACCTCCTTGCTTTTCGCAATCCAGCCCTTCACAATTTCAGGCGTGAGGACGTCCGCGCTCTTCTCGCTATGCTCAGTCCACTCTGGACCACCACCAAGGACGCCGATGTTTGGGCCAAAGAGCGTATCGCTGCCCTTGTTCGCGGACACAGGTGTGGGGGTAGCAGTGGTGGGGGCGGGGGCGGGGGTGCCCATGTCGATCACGACAGGGTTGCCTGTGGGTGAGGTCTGAGAGGCCATTTCGGTAGCGGCGCGGGAGGCGCGGGTGTCCACACGGGCGAGGTAGGGTTGTTGGTGGAGGTTTCGTACGCGGTTCCAAGTCGCGTACTGGCTGTTGTCTACACAACCGAGGCGGTTAGGCGCGGAGCGGAATGCGAGGTGTGGGGTGTGGAGGGGAGAGAGCAAGGATGCAGGAGGGCAGTTGGTGGGCAGAGGGCAGAGTTAAGAGTGGCTACGCACACCAGGTCGTGAAGCTGGCCATCCGACGGGAGGGACTTTGTAGTCTGGGAGAGAGGGAGCGCGGGAGCAGGCGCGGCGACGGCGAGCTATGCAGCTCCTCCTAATCTTGGATCCATTTGTCAGTGCGCCTGACTCGATCCCCACGGCACTTCCACTTCCGCGACCAGTCTGCCCGCACATCCGCCATCCGAACCTCCTCTATCTGCCAGAAGACTGCGCACGGGGCGGTATCCATCCAGCAACGAGCTGAGGTTCATCCGCCCGTCGTCGACGCAGCCTTCGTAATGCCCGACACTGCCGTCCGAGGAGGCCGGAGGGGCCACCGACATCCGCGCCAGTCCGCGCTGTTCCATCTGCGACTGCGCAGCGGCGTGTGCGTGAGACCAAGCGAGATTTCGTCAGCTTGGGTGCGAAGGCGGCACTGCACATCCACATTGGCAGGCGCAGTGGCCAC